GGCATGAAATCGAATTATTTACGAAAACAGCGACAACAAAAAACATATGAAAAAAAAACAACAACAAATAAATAAAAATTCCAATGGTTTGATTCACATTTTTGTCTTATTTTTTACAACGACTCAACACCAGCAAACCAGAACATATTTCCAAAAAAAAAAACACACCAAATATTTACATACATATGGTATTTTTTTTAATTTATAACAACACATTTATTCAGTGTATATACTGAGAGAAAAATATTCCCTGATCTAAGAACATGATTTTATACAATGCCTTTCTCGATCTGTGTTCAATTTCTGTAAATCACAATCTATAAAAGCCCAAAATGTTGCCGTTATTTCAAACAAACGTGGCTTTTACTTTTAAGTGATTTAAACCAATCCTGTTAACTTACAAAAGGAGATGGTTAAAAAAGTACACCTATTCTGTAACAATAAAATTTGACTTTATCCCCAAATTATAATTTATCGTCATCTTTTTATCCTGCACATGGACTATTTCCTATCGAAATTTCTTAAAACTAAACTAACTAATTGTTGCTAGTTACAAAATCTAAAACACAGACAATATTTGGGAATTCAAACTTTTGCACTAACAACTTTCAAGAAATAACCCCCGGTTTGCGCTGTAATGTCTAATGTGGTTTATTTTTCTTAAACTCCAGTTTCTTCTCGAGTAATCGTAAACACAAAAAACCGCAGCCATGGATGCCATCAAGAAGAAGATGCAAGGAATGAAAATCGACAAGGATGCTGCCTTGGAACGTGCTGCTACTTGCGAACAACAAGCCCGCGATGCTAACACCCGCGCCGAAAAGGTAGGTTATTACAATTAATTGGATCATATGAAATTTTACAAATTAGTGCTTGGACACTTTTCAAAAAGTGTTTTCTTAAATTAAAATTGTACTTTAAAATTTATTTGTTTTATTGTTTTCCCTAACAGGCCGAAGAAGAAGCTCGCCAATTGCAAAAGAAGATCCAAACTGTTGAAAACGAATTGGATCAGACACAAGAAGCCTTGACTTTGGTCACCGGCAAATTGGAAGAAAAGAACAAAGCTTTGCAAAATGTAAGTCAACTGTTTGTTTTTATTTGAATATCAATTGATTGGCATACGAAGAAGTTCATACGGTGGTTCGAACAACGTAGCAGATCGGTGGCACTTTCTGTTATGTTGTATGAACACCCCAAGAGGCAGCAATGCGATTTAATCATTTACACCACAACAGCCTCCATGGATCGACTCGTATGAACTTCCAGAAGTGTGTGCGATTGATGGTTACGTCCCACAAAATCCATATAAAATTTGTTTTTTTTTTATCGTTTCTCGCGATATTTTAAACAAATAGTTATTTGGAATTTTTGTATGACGACGAACATCAACCACACCCTTATATTAGTTCTTAAGTTCATATATAGAATATTTACCTTTATAGTATATATATATATATATAAATATTTACATAGATATAAAACTCAAAGATATGCATCGCTTCGTTAAGTGATAGCAGGGCAATACTTTCGTTCATTTCCGTTTCATATTTATTTGTGTTCGCTGAATTATGCAATTATTCAACACATTGGCAACAATTGTATATTTGCCAACGGTTAGTGTTGCCAACTGCGTCGAAATTTAAATGAAGCTATTTTTAAAAAAATGAACTCACATGCACACTGTTTATGTAGAAGAAGATTTTGACCAGATATTCCTAAAGAGCAGAGACAATTTGTAATTTTTCTCTTGACGAGTGTAAGAATGTATGTGTTAAACACACAAGAGAATATGTATGTGTAATGTGCGCATATGTATTACTTAGAAGCAGACGAAAAAAATATACTTTTGATTAAATTGCTATATTGAATATCAAATAACTGAGAACAGATCAGGGAAATGTGAACTGTAGGTCATCCCACCAATAATTTATGTCAAAAAAGATTATGTACACATTTCGGAGAGAAAACTATCCATTTGGCCTTCAATGTTTTCTAAAAACAGACAGACAAACAAACACTTTAGAAAGGAAAAAATAACCTGAAGGCCAGGTGAAGGAATGTCATTTTTGTAAAATAGATTTGATCATCATCCTCTAACACTTTCACATGTACGTGCCTTAGGTCGAAGAGATACATACATATATGTGTGTATATATGATAAATAAAAGCATCGTTACTCCAGAAATAAATATTACGTGTTATGAGTAATAATCATGTGTATGTATATTTATTTGCGTCCAAACACACACGCATATACACATGCGAAAAATTCCATTTTCCTGAAACTTTTGCTGCCTGCCACCGACCATGATGATCGCAATGGTGGTCAACACCCCAAACACAATGAGAGTATCCGAACATAAAAAAGAGCATACGGCTTTGAGAGCGTATGCCCATGACAGTGTTGGTGTCTTTGGGGGGTTTGTGTGGGTTGTATTATGGTCATAGATCGTTAATTAGAGCGTACTTGTGGGGGAAATTGCTGGCCTCTCCTCTCTATTTCGCTCTTTCGAAGCACACATACGCTCATACGGGCGCTGTGTATGAGTGTGAAGCGGACATGCTCTTGCCTCGCACAAGAATACGGCAACGTTTTACTGCTTAGACGTTTAGATTTTGTTTGGGGGAGCACATTGCTGGCTGCAAATATAGAAAATCATAAACCGCATCATACCACAAGACAGCAGCGCAGCACATACGGGACTATCAACCTAACGGGCAGAGATCTGAAGCTACTTAACTTCAACACACCACCAGTCAAACAGAATCCCTTCATCAAAAGTTTCTTCGATGAAAGGTTACTACACACTGAAATAGCATTTGAATAAAATCGCATTGGATTTCACCGATAGTCTGTGGATCGCTGGGGTACTGACGTAATTTACAACTCAGTCATTGCTGATAACAATGATGAGCTGTGAAATCTCTTGCTGAAAGCCGGAAAGCGTACTACACTTAACACATACAATATATACTATTACGTTACTATGTTACAATAGGGCAACCAAATCAGCCAAGCGTACCACCAATATCAATACTACAATTAACTACAACAATTATTAAATGAAATATACCAGAACACGCAACAAAAGGAAAGTGAAGTGAATTGAAGAGTGTGCAAAATGTTATAACCAAAAGCAGAGCTATTGTACGCGGTCATAAGAAAAAATCCTTCTCGCTATTGATCACCTAAGGGAAAACGCCGCCGGATCACATAAAACAAAACAAAAATTTTAAAACTTGCTTTTATTTTTTCCAAAAAAATACAATAACAAGTTTTTAATTCATTCATTAAACGCCAAACTCTGTCACTTGAAGTCGAATTAGGCAAACATTTTCCTTCAAAGAAAATAACGTCTTTAATTTGAAGTACATAGAGTGGCTGTGTGTGTACGGTTCGGAAAGGCAGATGGACATACCATTTTGATATTATTCGTTGTTTTTTTATTAATTCTGACTCATTTTATTATTAAGAAACGCGTTGGAAATTATGACCGTATAGTTTATTTATAAATTTCCATATCATTACGCGCCACATACAATAGAATGTGCTACAAGCCATCCACACCCCTCCCCTTCGCAATTGTCTCTTATCATTGAAATCAATAAACCTATAACAACGCGCCGGTGTCTTACTGCTTAGTGAATATGGTGATCAACCTCATCGCCGCCAGATTTAAAAATATCATTGAATAATTGCCAAAAGCTAACTTGACATTGCTGTGCTGCATTCCCCAACTAGAAACTAGAGCAAATTCTCTACGACGAAGGAATTTCTTAAAAAAAATGTTTTGATTTCTATAAAAACGTTAATGCAAAAGTAGTTAGCCACATCGAATAAACAGCCCAAATCTGCACATACTGTGTCCAAACTTAATTTAATATGGTGGAAAAAGTGCTGAGTGAAACAAATTCAAGCAATAAATGGCAAATAGTTTCTTACGGGAAATCAAAATACGTACCAAAGACAATTGCAAATGTAACTAAAAACAAAAACAGCAACAACACAACCACCAATCTCAAAAGAAAACAGCTCGTCGACATTAAGACTATCGGAACATCTGTGTCGGAAACAGCAAAGAACAGTCGATTGCACAATAAAACACAGCACAGCGACGCTCGCCTTAAACAGCAAGAGAACACGCATCATTACCCCACAACGACCAAAGATCTCAAGAAATCCGGATACACCGCTCAACCGCAACTACAACAGCACCACCATCGCAAGCGCTCAAAGTTACAGCAGCAAATTAAACGCGCTCACCGCCATCTGTTGACCAGTGGCGGTTGCGATAAGCAACAACTGCAGCCACGGTAAGCTAACAATGATAACTCTTGAGAGAGTACGACAAATAAATATGAATATTTATTTTGCCTCTTGCCATTCCGCTCAACACAGGAATCAGCTGTCATCATCGGCACCAGCAAATCAAAAATTAAGGCAGAAAAATAAAAACACAAAAGATATTGAAAACAAATCGGCACAAACGCATCTGCAACAGCAGCAAGTTAAACGCGCCCACCGCCATCTGTTAACCAGTGGTCAGCAACGGTAAGATATCATCATAACAGCTGTCATCTCATCGGCCACTTATCGACCTAGAGGACCCCACAGTCTAATCAGTTTTGTTTTGATTCTGTGTTATCAGTTTCTTTTGTCTTTCAATTTCGCGACGCCGACGATTTTCAAAACGCCGGCATTGTAATCCCAAAGAAACAAAGGTCTCACGCGTCATTTTCCTTTCCAAATCACCAAAAATTAATTATTTAATTCTTGGGGCCTAACTAATTCGGATAAATTTATTAATAATTCACAGCAACAATCTAAATAGTAATAAAATATCGAAGCATAGCAGCCACCAACACAAAGCTAACGGCAATCAGACCAATCAGAAGAAGGTGCAGAGGAATTTTGCAAACGATCAAGAATCCATAATATCGTCGCGTTGGTGTTCCATAGAGGAGCAGTTGGATTTGTTGGACAAACTTCTTTATTACTGTAATGAAGAGGAGGAGAATGCCGCATTGAAGGCTTGGTACAGTTCCATTAATCGAGAGTACCTATTGGAAACAGACTCATCCGAGGAGAATTCGGAAGGTGCCTTCAGTGATTGCGATTGGAGCTGGAGTGACATGATGATGTCCTCCTCCTCCGCCAACTCAGCCACAGCGACAATTACAACGCCAAGTGAGGACGATGCTCGCTCCACAATCAGTAACAGCAGCATGTCCACAACAACGTCGTCATCGTTGACGCCCAGTTCGCTTAAGAGAAGAGGTCACCAACATCATCCCAGGTTTTCTGGTACTAGAAGACCGGTTGTTCCGCCCAATGTCCAAGAGATTTTAGCTGCTCTGTACAAGAACGACGACAATGCATCACAACAAGAACAACAACAAACTACTTCGTCCTCCAACCTAGATATTGACCCGACGTACGATGACAGCCTGGTCAGCTATCCCGATGACCCAGAAGATGATCCCGAAATGGCCCAGCGTATCAAAGCATCACTTAATTTGCCTTTGACTGAATCAGTCACAACATCAATGGGCAGTAACAGCCCAACGCCCACTGACGATAGTAGTATGTTGGACGAAGGTGTGATGCAGACATCTACCTCAGGTTCTTCTTCCGCAATACAGCCACTCAGAGAAAAGAAATCCAAGTCGAAACGTGATAAAGGAGAAAAATCGTCTGGCGATACCACCACCAAGGAGAAAAAGTCGAAGAAATCCAAAAAAGATAAGTCGAAACGTGCCTCAGCTTGCCTAGACTCTAGCACCGACATAACAAATGCAGCATCCAACAGTGACTTGGCATCGGCAGCCACCGACGAGGGCATTGCCATCGACGATGATGATGTCCAGTCGGCGGAATGGGCAAATCTGAGATGTACAAGTGAGGCAGCTGAAATTGTGGCTGAACGGGAAGCTAGACGAAATAAAAATCGTTGTGCCGACTACCCGGGTCTTGCCTTTGGTCGTTCCATTTTCAGCTCCGATACCATGATGAAATTTAACATAATTCGCAATGAATTGCATAACATCATGAATACACAATTGAAACGGGTAATTAATCAATACACCAAATTCGTCTGCAGTATTGTTATTGTAGAATGCGGATGATAAATATCCGATCTGACATTGAAGGCCGATTTGTTCCATTGAGGATGTTGCAAATCGCCTCGATTGTCTAATTATACAAAACAACAATACTAGCTAGTGAACATTATTCATTCATATTATTCATTTTTCAGAACCGTGCTATATATCTAAATAGAACTAAAGTATGCAAACATTCAACATTCTGGGACTTAGAAAAACAATTGTCGCTCTCTCCACCGCTCCCATTCCATTTCGTTGTAGAGCGAAAATCAAGGCTATGCCGGTCAAATTAATCTAAATGTACGTCCTAATTAATTGGAATGAATTTACGGTGAATATATTCTATTCGTACTGAACACTCTCAACACTTCCCCCTCCCCGCAGTGAATACGCTGTATATTTAGCAAGTGATTACGTAGTGTTTAAAAGAATTTCCTTCTGTTTACTCCATATACGAATTTCTTGCTAATATGCAGCGCGAAAAAAGAGTACAAGCAAAATAGCCAAATATTTTTCAGAGTTTTTCTACACAGCGTGTCTCTGTGTGTGTGTGCGTGGATGGATGATTTGCCGGTATAGCAAATTTAATTTCATTGCTCTACAATACCGAATGAACAAACAACCGAACGAACGTATCTATCTTTTAATGGGGCCCAGCAAGCACAGCCGTATGTGTGTGTACGCTAAATAAAGACAAATTTCTCTTTGTACCTTCTCACTTTTAGTTAGCATGGCTAGCTCATTGTTTTTGTCTGTGAATATGAATTTCTAGCGGACCGACTGCTTTTTGAACCGACTTTTGTCTTTGAACTCGTTTTTTTTTACATCTATTATTTGTACAATGACCCACTTTATGTTATGATTATACGAATACCTTTAAGCCATTTCACATCATTGAAGAGAACGCCAAAATATCGTAGTGTTGTTACCCCACTTGCCGACACGGCCAGCCAGATCGTCCGACCGCAAGCTTTTCGACGACCTTCTCGAGCAAGCATCGATGCACCAGCTAATTTGCGTCTACCCTGTTCTATATAAGATCAAATACGAATGCTTACCACATAGAAATGTGTCTTTAATTATTTTCGATTTCGTCGTCCCCCATTTGTGTGTAATATAATTGTCCGAATTACGCAATTCTAATAATATTTCCTCAAATGGCAAATGATTGTATTCGCCTTTAATTAATAACTTATGTTCACATTTTTTGTGGGCTTTGTGTCGTTTTGCATTGCAATTTAGAATTTTACTTTTGCCATATTCTAGATTGAATTACTTTATTTTCAAAAACATGGATTAATATGGATATGGCTTTTTATGGTCGATTTTCGACAATGACACATCCATCCAATCAATTATTGAAAAACAAAAAGAAAGAAAAAACGTCGCCACACTGTTAGTGTTGTCAACGACCTTCCTAATGACGTTTACCCATATTTCCCATATATAGGTGCAATTTACTGATTCGTGCGCACCAATAAAACGTACATATGAGTACATATTTGTCTATCTGTGTGTTTATGTTTTAGTTCCAAAACACTACATACGAGGAGTTCACTTTTTCTTTTCATTGCCACTCAAGTGTAATCGCCGTAATCGCCGCTTATGTGTACATTTTCAAAACATGAAATTAGAAAAAACATCCAAATATGGAAAAATTATGAATTATAATCATTTTAAGTAAAGCCAATGATTTATTTGCCGTTAACGATCGTCATTAGTAAGGCCGGTTAAAGCTTACACACTTATATAGACAACATACATATACATAGAGTTTAAATAACTTGTCTTGCACATCGCCAAAACAGAAAAATACCAGACACTATCAATAAACAGAATTAGAGACTTACCCTGCGAGGGAATTATCTTTGTAAAGTTTAGGGTTCATGGCATTACACCTTCAAACCCCAATATATTAGATTGTCATTGTTGCGCAAATCCGTAGAAGTTCTTATTACATTTACAAGTTCGTTATGTTTAAAGGGAGTCATCTTCACAAGCGGTTGATTTTTTTTCAGTGTATGGTTTTTGAGTACTCTTCATTTTGGAGTGGCCTCTTTTATTGGAACTTCAATAAAAGAGAATGTTGTCTTATCAGAATTTTCTTTGCCTACTGCCAACATTCATAGAAACGTCATTCAGATTAGACTCTAATCATTAGAGTATCCTTTTGATGAGAGAATTAACAATTGGATTATTTTCCGCCCAAATAATACAAAAAATTCTTATTTTGTTGCGGCATTAACAGGTTTTATAGCTCTATACGCAATACAGCTGTCTCGTTTTCACCTATTGAGTTTTTTCTACAAATCTAGGCGAGGCTTTTCATGTGTTATTAGCCATACTTCTCATATGTTTACTGTCCCGGCTCTCTTTTTGTTTCTCAACTCTCAAACCTCTTCACAAAAGCCGACGATATCATTGGTTTTGTCAACGTAATCGTTTGTCACCACTCACAAAATTCATATGAGCTCATTCGCTGCGAAAAAGTCGAGACGTAAGCTTCGTTTTGTGTGGTTACAGTGTTTTTTGTGGGCATAAGAGCATTAAAATAAAAGTTTTTTTTTAATTATTCGAGCAAGAATATTGTTAATATTTAACGAAATTGAAACTGAAGCGTTAAACAAACGCCAAGAAAACGGTGAAAACAGCGAAATATTTTACAAAATATAAGTTATACACACCACAGCCAGATCTTTTGAAAAGAAAAAAAGTAGTAGAAGAAGAAGAAGAGAAAGAAAAAACCGGTGGTCGTTTTTAACCTAACGTTTGCATTGAATAAAAAAATATACATATATATATTCTCAATCGTTGTCTCAGTCTAACTTTAACTATTAACGTAATTTTTTAGCTAAAATAAAAAAACACAAAATTTGAGAAAAAATCAAGGTGCTTTTCATAAATAATACACACAAAAAAAGTTATAAATTGTACAAAGTTTTAAGTTTAAAGTAAAAGAAAAAAAAAAGAAACAAAAATGACGACCAGCATTCCACAAGGCACTTTATTGGATGTGCTCAAGAAGAAAATGCGTCAGACCAAAGAAGAAATGGAAAAATACAAAGATGAATGTGAGGAATACCATAAGCGTTTACAACTAGAAGTGGTTAGACGTGAAGAAGTAAGTTGAGAGAAATCGAATATTAAAAAAAGAAGAAAATATAAAATCCAAATAAAATGAAGAATGCTCCAAAAATTCACGGGAAAATAATATGTAAATGCAAAACATTATTCAGGCTCAAAAGTCTGTCTGTCCGCTCGTTCGTCATTAGTGGCTTTTGTTAACTAATATTTTGCTTATCTTAGGGCGAGTGTGTGAAAGGGACCGCTGTATTGAACCACCAACCCGTGTGAACATAAACTACTCAAGAGAGTAGAAGTGACATACCAAGCATTATTGTTGTGTTGCTCTTGCTTGTTGTTTTGTGAGAACTTCATATTGTACCTGTGAAACAGGGTGATTCCTACTCAGAATGAGAGTGGCACCAATTTCGATTCGATTGTGGGGAATATCTGGCGATTGCGACATGGATGATTATTTCATTTTAATCGTCGTTATTTATTGGTAGATTTCTTCCTTATTTGGTTTTCAGATCTCGTTTAGGTATATTTTAATTGATGTCGGTGGTGGAGAGTGTAGCCCCCTCCTTTTTTGTTATGTTGTTTCCGACTAACCGTTGTTTATGGTTTAAGATTCATGGTCGCCAGTACTAGTAGTATCTCGTTGTTGTTGTTTGTTTAATGATTGTTGGCACAAATTTCAATGTTACCCCAAATTGAGGCACGAATGAATATGCATGTGTCTATTTGGTATGTGAAAATGGTGTGAGAGAGGAAGAGCGAGAGTGACGACAAAGATGATTAAAACATTTCGATAGGCGTTTCTACAGTCTTTTTTATTCAAATATTATCTTACTTGGTTGGCATTTGCTTGCAATTGTCACCATGACCATAAAACGTTCATTCGTCTTTTGCTTTGACTTTTAATCAATAGAGTTTTGCAAAGTTTCCAGAAATGTATTGCCTTTACAATACTACAGAAACCAATATGATGGTGGGAGAGTGGAGAGTGCGAGAGACAACTTAACACCTCTACGAGCATTTTTTTGTTTTTGCTGCCCGATTGATAACACAACGCACTGCTGTTGTTTTCTCCAGAAGGTAATATTTGACGGTTCTTTCTTTTGGCGAGAACAATCAAAATTTCCGTAATCACTTTTGTCAAAGTGAATAATAAACATAAATATAGAAATGAAACAACAACTACTACAGCAACAAAAAACGTTTATTGAGAATACACATGACGACATGACGTCGTTCATCATCGAATCTGTATAGATAAAACACCAAATAAAGTATTTATTCACTTTTTGGTTGGCTTGTTTGCATTTCATTGTTGTGTCAGGGTGGCGGTGGTGGCGACGATGAGCTGACTGGCTGGCGATTCAAGACACAACATCAAAGTCCCAAAAAATACCCCATGGCAACGTTTTTGTGAGAGTGTGTGAAGTAGTGGACGACGAACTACTACACCACTTCACTCCCTTTTTTATTGTCAATGGTAGGTTGTTGGGCTGTTGTTTTTTTTTTATTTTCAAATGAATTCGTTAATATACATGTATGTATGTTCGTACGACTGTTTGTAGTTATCTACAAAAGCCACAAACATACGTACATTCTAGTTATAACGATGACGTAATGTTTCACTACCACTCCAAAAGCCCCCACAGTAAGAGAACAGAGAATTTTATAAGCTGGCGAGAAGAAATGCTTTCGGTGAAAATAACTTAAAAACAGGACAAAACTGACATGATTCACGAAATTTGGCGATTTCAAAAAGACTCAAACCACAAATGAAATAACCACCAGTTAACAATGTTGATGTCATGATGTCATTCCCACCCATTATCGGGTGGCTATCACCAGCGTTAGGCGAGGAATGTTTGCATACTTTAGATAATATAGGAAAGCGTGGTTTTCGTTCATATTTCTCTTTACAGCAGCATTATGGAAGAGGAACAATTTGATAAGAAGCTGGCCTATACCACCTACTATACCGGATTGTCTCTGATACATAGATGAGCATTGTATTCATAGAGTGTGGGTGTAGGGAATCGATGATGTAGTAGATTCACATTGGGCTTCCTAGGAAATTTAGAAAAAAAATATATATTGTAATGAGCGAATTTTTGGAGCATATCTTTGAGTTTTATATCTGATTAGGCTATTTAAGTTATTCTATCGTATTGTATTGTATCGTACATTTCTATAATATCTGTAGTTGTATCTTATATAAAATTTCCCTTGAAAACATTAATTTCCAGGCCGAATCTGAAGTTGCCGCTTTGAACCGTCGCATTCAATTGCTCGAAGAAGATTTGGAACGTTCCGAAGAACGTTTGGGTTCTGCCACAGCTAAGCTCTCTGAAGCTTCCCAAGCTGCCGATGAAAGTGAACGGTTAGTATTCTTCATTCCAATGCGAACTGTATTGGGATCTTTTTGAATTTGTTATTGTTTATTATTATTATTTTGTATCATTATTCCTATATATACCTATATTTATTTATATGTAATTCTATATCCAATTTTGAAAATTCGATATAGTTTATAGCTACGTGGTGAAGGGTTTATTTTCTTATTTTTGATTTCTCCTTATGAGAATATATTCATTTCAACAATAAAAATCTATTGTTTAAAAATATTAGGATACGAAAGGCCCTTGAAAATCGTACAAACATGGAAGACGACAGAGTAGCTGTTTTGGAAGCCCAATTAGCACAAGCTAAGTTAATTGCTGAAGAAGCGGATAAGAAATACGAAGAGGTACAGAAAACACAACTAAACTTCTTCAATACGATACATCTGATTAGTAGGGTACTAGGGTTATTAGGTTCAGAATTTCGTCGTACATATTTCATATTTTAATTTAATTTGGTTTGCGAGGTTAGAAAACGTCGTTGTGCGGTTTATATGAATACAATGCTCTCTCTGAAAGGTAAACTATACAACCATATCTGCTCCAATATGGTTGATACTCATTAATAATAAGATTAGTATTAAGTAGTAGTAATTGTATTGCAATGTATATATTAATTATTTAAATTGTAGTCCTAGATTTGTAAGAATGAATGTCTGTGTACACACACACAAATTGTATGGCGAATTGTAAATCATTTTCAAAGACACTAATTCGTTTGCAGAAAAATTAGTAAATTCTGATTTTATTGGAATTTTGGATTGTGGCTTTGAAAATGCTTTACTTCTTAACTGTTTAAGTTAATTTATTTTTCTTATTTCTTCTTAACAACAACAACATTATCATCAACAACAATTTATGGCTTATATACAACGTAAACAACGACAACTCCAACAACATGGATTATACGGCAACATAAAAATTATAACAAAACCAACATCGTTTGTATCCATACGTGTTATTATGTCTCTGTGTGTCTTGTGTATTTCGTAATACCTTCACATGTGATTCTTCGGCACTTTGTTGTTATGTCGACTGCACCACCACCTATCCTCTCTGTGTGTTGCAAATGTGGTCGATGAATAAACGATCGTGCGGATAAACGGAATCTGATTGCAATATACTTCACTTTATAATCTTGGATGTCTTCTATCTGCAACGCTTAAACGAACCACCGAGCAGTGCTCGTAAGATCCTTGAGAACCGCGCCCTTGCCGATGAAGAACGCATGGACGCTCTTGAGAATCAATTGAAGGAAGCACGTTTCCTTGCTGAGGAGGCTGACAAGAAATACGATGAGGTGCAAATCAAAACCCATTTCAATAGTTTACTTATTGCCGATGCTAGTTGTTCATCTTCTACCACTACTACCAATAACAATATTATAACCACTACTAATTGTATCCCCAATGATGAAACATCAGATACGAAACAACCAACCCCCGATCCATTGCCACAAACTTGATTGTCTTTTGTTATATATATGTAATGTCTAGAAATATCAACAAAACTTGTATTTACACGATTTAATAAATTGCTGCACCTAGAGACCGACCGAGCTGCGGCGAAAAGAACGAACACCACGCATGATTGGTTTGTCTGTGACCACAGCTCTGTAGATTTCCTAGAGACTAATCAGCTCTTGTAAATTGATCAAAAGTTCTTTATTGCACATAAAGAATGCTTGCCCGCCCTATGAGTCAAAGAAAGAGAAAAAGAAAGTAACACTATTTGGAAGCAGTTGGAAGAGGAGTTGGTTGTTCTAGATCTGAAAACAAAAAACTAATTGGATGATATATTATTATAATTGTATATGAAAACTTGTGCTGCTTAACAATCTAAGATTAAACTGTATATGTATATATAGCGTCCTATACATATATATTTATATGAAAAACAAAAATACTGTTGTAAACTAAACAAATTAGCGAGTTGTAAATTGAAATTTTGTAACATAGTTACTTCTTATTGTAAAAAAAAAAATAAAAATATGTAAATTTATTGCATCTGCTGCACCTACCTCGGAGGACAGTGTCGTCTCTTCGTTAAGTGTACGGTGCAGTGCAATGTATATGAAGAACTATATAAAACAATTATGGCAATAATTAGAGAATTCAAATTTACGTTTAAATACTTTCTACAGTTTGCTTATGTACTTTTTTCTAAGAGAAGAGAAAAAACATATTCTAGTTTTTGTTAACTGTCCTATTATTGTATTTATTTTGTGGTAAAAAGTCTAATTAAATTCAATTTTCTTTTTTTGTCATTTCTTAATATGAAACTATATTATTATTATATTATTGAGCATATATTTTTTTTTGCTTATTCATATAATTTAATTTTTTTATAATAAACATAAAACAATAAAATTGTAAAAAAGTTAATAAATACGAAAAGCAAAAATTGCAGTAAGAATTGTTATTTTAGTTGTAATGGAGCATATTTAGCAGTCTTGGAGAGCATTGGGAGTGAAATATGGTATTCTTGTGGATATACAAAAGTAATGGTTTTATTTGTTGTTAGGGATGATTCTATATAATAGTAATTGTTGTTTTTTCTTTAGAAATATACAGGTGTTTAGATAACCTAAATACATCCTCCATATTTTTTTTTTTTTTGAATTCAAATTGGTCAAATATGCGTGTTTTCCAAACTATTTCAAAAATATATTTTGGTGAAATACATTTATTTAATCAAAATATAGAATCGACATGTTGGACTTCTTTAATATAAAAGTTCATGGCATAGTAGGTTTACTTTCCTGATCTAAAATAAAATTAAAATGCTACTACCTGTACTTCTCCTCATAGTTTTGAATATTAATTTGAAGTTTAAATTGCATTAAAAGTTGTGATCAAAAAATCTAAATAGAAAATAATGGAAATTTCTCTTTCAAAAATATAAGCACCATTAGTTCTACCTAAATCATACCGTACATGGTATCCCATTATACATCAAATCCTACCTTACATGTTAAATGAATCATTTTTGTAGTCTAGTTTCGACAAACAAAGATAAGAAACACTTTACAAGTAAATGTTATGCAAGTTATGTATTTTTTAGTCAATTCCTTTGATTATAAATTATGATTCATACTTGATTATATGTAGTGTGGTTTTATGTCTTGGTTTAGCGTCATAAAACATATCAAAATGAGGCGAAGCGTAAAATGCTGGATTTAATGTGTTCATCAACACTAAAAAAGCTATGCATATAAATATAGATTTTGTTCCAATGACAATATACGCGATGGTTACTCATTGAATATTTTAACAAGGGTGAAATTTGGTAACACCAATATACATAACATTTATATATATTTATTGATTCACGTAGACATTTCAAAAAATATGATTCATTTGAGAGAATTTATTGCCATAATCGATTTAACTACCATTGTTTTCTTAGGCTACATTTTCCGTGTTTCGATATTTAACGGTTCGTCTTTTCAATAGATACAAATATATATATATATATAATGACCTAATTCCCATTTAAATTGTTAGCTTATTTCCAACAATACAAATTTAACTCGTCTTTGAATTATTAATATTGTTTAGATCTAGCCGTTAGCTTTGATATAGACAAACAGATTTTTTATACGTAACAAATGTAAATTATGGCGGCGATTCTATTACTAGGTGTGCCAGCCAGCCAGCCAACCAGCTGACGTTATACTTTTACATGAGCTATTTCTGCTGTTACTTAAAAGTGAGGAATTCTTCGTTGACATTTACATAAATAAAACCATTACTAAATCATAAGAAGAATATTAAGAAGATGTTTTAAATTGTTTCACATCCCAATGTTCCTTAGAGGACTCTATGTTGATAAAAGGAGAAAATATTGCTCCATTCTTTCGTAGACAAATTGCCATAATTGTTAGTAAAACTCAATACCCTTTAAAAGGCACAAGTTTTCTCTACCTTAGTTTCCCTTGTTGTTCGTTGTATATAGTATTACTATTGTTACTATGATGCGCAGAGCAAAAGCGATACAAACGACCAACGCAGTTACTAATGCCTATTAACAAATCCATGTCAAAGAACCAACAAACAATGTTGATGACAAGTGTGCTAAACAGTAAGCAGTGCCGCAGTGCATACTGCTCTACGATCGCCGCCCGCCAGCAGCCAGCCGGCTTTATTAACTCTACTATGTGTTTTGTGTGAAAAGAAACAACACCCTCCCATCGAAGTCTATTGTAAACTCATAAATGTATGTTTTTGTTTTAATCTTTCCCCTTTCCAACGAAAAATGGCTGTATTCAAAATAATTCGCCGCCTTTTTTAAATACACCACACAAAGGTTGCCCGTAAATTGGCCATGGTTGAAGCTGATTTGGAGCGTGCTGAAGAACGTGCCGAACAAGGAGAAAAGTATGTTTTTCGAAGAGCCGAATGTTATATCGAGTTGTTTATGTTTTTTTTAATATTATCCTTAAAACCTGTTACAAATGTTTACTGTTATTGTTATCAAATGTTTCCTTAACACAAAAAAAGAAGCAAAACCTAACCTCCAAAAGTGCAGGCAATCAATTTTGTACAATTCAAAGAATTAGCTAGCTAGTTTCAATTTGATTATTGTTAACAGTGTTTGCTTTTGTAAAAAATGTGAATAATTTGTAAAGAAGTGAAAGCATGTTTGTTATTAGCGTTAGACTCTCGTCACACACTTATCATTTGCTTGATAATGTTTGCCGTTACTTTGGATCGAATTCAATCAATCACATTCACATTTTTTACCAAAGAAACTGATGTTATTACCACAAAATGTGGAAATCCCTGTTATTAATATATTTTCCTCTTTCTCATTTCCCAAATGAATTTTGTTGTTCAAAATGCTGCTATAATACTCTAATGCTATAACATCCTGCCAAACAAAACGCTAACTAAAAAAAAACACGTTACACGCCAACTTGTGGATCGTATGTGAATGAATGCTCGATCGATCGCTCGCTCGTTTATTGTTTCTATGTGTATGCCTAACCATAACAAACAAAAAAGGTGGCCAGAAAACTAGTTCTCATGGAACAAGACTTGGAACGTTCTGAGGAAAAGGTTGAACTAGCCGAAAGGTTTGTAATCGCTTTACAGTTGTCTGTCTGTATATCTAACTAACATAAATGCTTTTGTTGTGTTTATTGTTTTAAGGATAAATAAAAAAGGAAGACAATTCATTTAATATTTGGAGCGCTTTGATGCAAAACTTGCAATATTATTTGACTGACCGATGTCGCAATTTGTCTCATCTCAAAGTTGCATTGTTGGTCGGTGCAAGTTTGCAACAACGTCGTCTGAATTGAAATAATTTATCTTCCGTTGATTTTATAATTTTATTTTTGATAAATATATTCTAAACGATGATTTCCTTTTATTTGAATTCTCACAGCAAAATTGTTGAACTTGAAGAAGAACTCCGCGTCGTTGGTAACAACTTGAAATCCCTTGAAGTTTCTGAAGAAAAGGTTAGTTTTTGTATATATGTTTATAGAGTTTTATTTATTTGCCTTGGATGTTCTCGTGACATCAAGAGCAACATAATAATGAAATTTATCTTCAAAAATTCATTCTCAATAATTATTTTTGTTATTTCTCTTATAAAACCAACAAAATTCCATATCTATTTCACCATTACTACAACACTACACCCTATGTATTATATTACAAAAATTCCCCCATATATAAAAAATACATACATATAACAACAAATGCATTATCATTGTCCAATGTAATGATGCTGGCGTTATTAACTCGAACACCACAATGACATAAAAACCACCAACACCCTCCATGCCGTACATATGCCCGTAAAACTACAACAACAATAAATAGGCTAACCAACGCGAGGAAGAATACAAGAACCAAATCAAGACCTTGAACACCCGTCTCAAGGAGGTATATAATGAAATCACTAAAATTTACACACGCTTTTGTAGCGAAGCGAAGAGTATTTTCTTCTCGCAAGAAAATATGATTCGCTACACGAAAGCAAAACACAAAAAATAACAAGACTTCCCAGAAACAAAAGCTCGATCGATCAATTTTTGAAATGAATTCTGCACCGAAAGACGCCGACTATGACTCTGCCTATGTAAAGGGAGTTGGTCTCAAAGTCTAGGGGTTTGGTTTAAATGTTCTAGCATCAACTGTGTGTGTTTTATTGTTGTTGGTTAATTTAAGAGAGATGCCTTCAATCTAACTTTATTTTATTTTTTTAAATTATTTTTGTTTTTGTTTTTTTTTTTAATTTCCTTTGTTTCTGTTTTTTGTCTTTTTCATGTTTTTGGCTGCTTTTTTATTGATGAATTTTATTTTGTTTTTATTATTCAAATATGACAAAATAAAAACGCTTGAAACACTAAAACCAATTTACATTGCATGCAAACTTATTAACCCCTTCCAAATTGAATGTATGGTAATATGCCTCCCCCACCTGCCACTAAAATCCAATGTAAATCGAATTGTTTGAAAACCGAACTGCAATGATGCCAACCATCACCAACCAAAGGCTACACACAAAGAAGAAACTTTAGAGTCACAGCTCAGACTTTTGGATCATCAGCTAAAAGAGGTATTACAACATTGAAGCCAGTGTTTTCAATTTGAATGGTGATGGAGTAACTATGTGGAAGAACTTACACTATCAATACTAAACACACTCACTCTATTAACAAACTCTAATTTGAAATATCGCATTAGATATAGAAATTACTTTTTTAGTGGTCATAATTGGCAAAGTTGGTTAAGTCAGTTGTGCCCGCGCCTTGTTGTGCCCTCGCTTTAAATAGATACACACACAACTAAAGAAAGAAAATATGAAACTGCACAAATTGTTATTCTCAATTTTAATAGTTCAAAATGTACATATAAACAACAACAACTGGAAACATTTTCATTGGTTTGTTGTGCCGATTGTGTAAAACAAATCTATGCGATATTTTCTTTTTTTAATTGACACACGGACCCTAAAACCATAAAAAGAATATGTCGTGATAACCAAACATGAGTATTTACAAAAGTTGACCCATTTTTGCTGCATATTCCTTGTCCTGTGGATTGAGGAATGAGTCATATTTTCTTTTTGGGCCAAACGTACACTTTTTGGCAAAATAAAATTGAAAACAACCTTTTGTGCATTTATTGCAAATCATTTCTAACATAAAGTCATAAATTATAAACCAAATGATGATAAAAGCCAAAATGAAAACTTTCTTAAATGCTCATGTTTTTCGTTTAGGCCCGTGAAACTCAAAGTATTATCGAAAGGGAAATCAATAATCTCAAAAACCAATTGCAGGCTGTAAGTGTACGTTTTTGTGCGATTTCTGCTGAGCTTGGTGCAAAGTAGTTAGATGCAGTAGTAAAACTAATGAACAGTCACAGTCTAAATCGACAAGATAATCAAAAGATGAATTCGAAGATGTGCAACGTGCAGCTGAGAAAAACCAATGACAAGACGACGTATTATGTCTATTAACTTGTTTGCGATGACTGTAGTATTATTCTAATTGTTAAAATTGATAGGTATTTGCATTAAGAACTGTATTAACTTGGTGGTCGTCTGATCAATAGAAATTAAAGTTGAACAGTATTAAAATTATTACTTTTGCCTGATTATGATTATTTTTTCTAATTTGTTGTCGTTTTTATTTTGTTATAATTTCTAACACTATTAACATTTACGCCATGAAACCAACCAACCAATTTACCCTCCCTCAGTGATGAAAGAACAACACCCCACCCTTATTGCTAATTAAAAAAAAAAAAAATAGTTTAGTTAAAACTCCTTCATTAAGACTACAAAAATGTTTTGTTAGCGCTGGTTTTGGTAGTGTATAAATCTCTCTACTTAATTTTTGGGAAGCTTATGTTATTTTTTATATCAAAATGGCATGAAAACAAAGACAACACGTAAACACCGAACAACAGTGTGTTAATTAGAAAATAAATAATGAATTTCAAGTAATTGCAAATCAAAAACTCGTTGTCTTTGTTTTAAATCACTTTTACCTCTTCCTAACAGAACTGAAACTAATATACATATTTTTACTTTGTGTAGGCTGAAGCTCGCGCTGAATTTGCCGAACGTTCCGTTCAAAAATTGCAAAAGGAAGTCGACAGGCTCGAAGGTAAGTGCTAATTTTTGACTTGATTTGATATTTTTCAAATTCAAATATTGAATAGGAGCTAGAAAATATGAACTCTTTAAAAAATAAAGAAGACTATGTACGTTTAAGTTTAGATGAAATATTAACCACAATTCTCCTTGTGTTTTTTTGTTTATTATTTATTTAATATATTTTTTTAATTTGATTTTTTTATTTTTATGTTACTTACACGCTTAATCTTTTATTTTGCCTGCCTGCCAAAACAAAATGTTTTTTTGATATTTGTTTACTAAAAAATCGAAACGAAACCAACAATCCGCCATTCCTGTGTTGTTCATTGTTGTGCCGCCATTTTACAAATGCTAACCCCTACTTCCACCATACGCCTATGTGACAATCAAAAATGAAACTATTAAATGCCTTAAGATGACTTGATGAACGAACGGGCCAAGAACAAACTGCTTCAGGAAGAAATGGAGGCCACCCTGCATGATATTCAAAATATGTAAAACCCAACAACTGCAACAAAATTATTATTATAAAAACAGCAAAAACACTACCATACTACTTAGCCTAAGGACTCATTTGATACAACAAGGCTTGTTTGCAGACACATCCAACAAATGAGAATCCACAAACAAAGCGGAGGGGGAATAAAAAACAAAAAACAAGAATCGTGCATACGTCCCCATACATAGACCTGCCCCTTATTAAGATAACGAGCAGCGTAATTTTTAACGAAGAGAAAAATAGTCCATTAACTACTGAAGACCGTGTTTCTTATTCTTATAATTATTATTACTATTCCATACATACTAAGAAAAACTCAAGCGACTTAGTTTTCCTCCTTTGTATTTAACTTCTATGACGTTAATGCTTCCACAACAACAAAAAACAAAACCAACCAACCAACATCATTCCCTTCATTTAACTATAGTTTAAGAAAAGGTAAAAGACAAGAAAAAAGAAATTAAGGAAACATTCCATATACCACCTATCTATCCACCCTAACTAATTTACAAAGCAACGCCACTTTTCAAGCACACAATCTCTCTCTGTCTCTTCCTTTCTATACCTTTATTGCCAGTAAAAATGTCGGTAAATCTTTTCTTTTTATTTCGAAAATAAAGAAAAGCGATTTTTTTTTTTAATTTTTACAAAATTGCATTTCTACCAAGGAATTGTGTGTATTTTCTTCTGTATTAATAATGTTAATGTTGTAAAAACTTTTCACCCTTACCGTTTTATTCGATCATAAGTTTTTCAAGTAAAGAAATCAAAATTTTTTCTAAAAGAGCAAAATATTATAATTCTACGACAAGCTTTTTTTAAGCATTATATTCTATTCTTTTCAAACGAGAACTACACGCAACAAATATTTGTTTAAATTGATAAATTATTGTGTATTTATTTTCTTCTTATATAAATGTATTTCGTTTTAAAATGTACATGCCCATGAAGAATGAAAATAATTATTTTGCGACAAAAACAAACAAAAAAAGACAATATATAGTATATTTCTATTATTTACCGTTTCTTTTTTAATTATTTATATTATATAACTACTATTACAAAATAAAATATTAAAAACCAAAACCGCTGCAATTTGCACAAAGAACATTTGTTTTTACGCGAGAGAAGACTCAAACGCCCCTCGAACCGCCGGTGGCAGAACTTTCATTGGCTGACCGACCGACTGACTTATCCTTCGTCCATGTATTGAGAAACACATCTAACTGTTGAGCTGTTATTGAATAAAAAATAAAAATAATTTTGCCTGTGTACCCAAAACGATCGATTGTCATAACACACCGTCTATTACCAGTTTATAAGATTGCATTTATTTAACTCTTTTTTTCTTTTTGCTTCGAAACAAAAAATTCTTTTCCTTTTCAATTAATTGCAATTTTATTTTCTTTTTTTGTTTAAAACAATATATCTGTGCCTTCTTTTTTTACCTCCGCTACGCCTCCAAAATTACGCTAACTAACGCTAACAAAACCAAATTTTGAACAAAATTATACGCGATCCAATCCCCGAATAAAATAAATTGTTACCACCAACACCAAAACCATTCCTCTTTGTAAATGCATTACATTGTGGCAATTTAACATCATGCTCCGTGTCCGGACAATAGATGAGATAATTTACGAAAAGGAACATTATGCAATCATCGGTGATTCGCTGGACCAAACATTTGTTGATTTGATGGGTATGCCACCCTGTTATAATGATCGCCATCCCAAGCCTCCTACGCCAAAGTTACCAACACCAACACCAGAAGAAATTGCCGCAGCCGAGGCGGCTAAAGCTGCTGCAGAAGCTGCGGCAGCAGCCGAATCCGAAGCAGCAGCGGCGGCAGATGCTGCTGCAGCCGCTGCAGCTGAGGGAGGTGCTACGGAAGGTGCTACAGCGGGCGATGGTGCCGCTACGGAAGCTGCACCACCAGAGCCTGTTAAAGAAAAAACACCACCTCCACCACCACCATTTGAATATGCCATTGATTTGCCACCAGAAGGTGCTGAGGTGCCATATGTGAAGAATTACGAACCCGGCCAGGAACCACCACCACAGCCTGCTGCGGAAGGAGAAGGTGCTGCACCAGCCCCAGAAGGTGCCGCACCACCGACTGAGGTTGCTGCGCCACCTACTGAGGGTGCTGCGCCACCTGCTGAAGGTGCCGCTCCTATTGCTGAAGCTGCTGCTCCTCCAGCTGAAGGTGCCGCTCCTCCAGCTGAAGGTGCCGCTCCTCCTGCTGAAGCTGCTGCTCCTCCTGCTGAAGCTGCAGCACCACCAGCCGATGTTCCACCTGCCTAAGCGTCTTCAAAGAAGAAACTGTAAATTCTAGAGAGAACACAATAAAATTGGATTTGAGAACAAAACAAAAATAAGATAGCACGTGTGCCTCCTGATTATGACTGCAACTTAAGGGTTTCCTTGTGTGTTCTAACTGACTGTACCAAACATCTTTACTGCCACATAAACACATATGTGTCCGTAACAGCTGTCAAGCCTAATCATTCCTCCTACGTATGTGTTCTTCGCGTACACCCATTTACGTGTTACACCAATATTCCTACACCCTCTTATCGCCCACTTCTATTTCCCGTACATGTGGATCTATGTCTATATACTTTAGATAGATTCCTAAGCTATTCTTCTTACTATCTCCATGCACAAATTTATCTAGTATTGGATTTTTATTTCTTTACTACACTTTTTATTTTGCTTTTTGCTCCTGTTCTTCTTCATCAAATCTATCCATTTCAATTCGACACCTCATTCTCCAACTAAAACACAAAAGACGAATATATTGTTGAAAAGGAACGTTACTGTTTGATTGGTGACAGTTTAGACGAGGCGTTCATGGACTTGATTCCCGGCTTGGAACCGTTCTACACACCACGCAATCCCAAGCCACCCACACCGAAATTGCCCACACCTACTCCAGAAGAAATCGCCGCTGCGGAAGCAGCTAAAGCTGAGGCAGAAGCTGCAGCAGCCGCAGCGGCGGAAGCCGAGGCTGCTGCTGCTGCTGCCGCCGAAGGTGCCGCCGCCGGAGGATCGCCTAAGGGAGAAGGCGCTGGTGAAGCTGCACCCGGCGAAGCTGCACCTGAACCAGCGCCCAAGGAACCCACTCCACCACCACCACCTCCACCACCATTTGAGTATGCTATTGATCTACCTCCAGAAGGTGCTGAAGTACCATTTGTTAAGAATTATGAACCACCACCACCTGGATCAGAACCCGCAGCTCCTGCTGAAGGTGCTGCTCCACCTGCTGAAGGTGCTGCCCCTCCAGCTGAGGGTGCTGCACCAGCCCCACCTGCTGATGGAGCAGCCCCAGCTCCACCAGCTGAAGGCGCCGCCCCAGCTCCACCAGCTGAGGGTGTTGCGCCAGCTCCACCAGCCGAAGGTGCTGCCCCAGCTCCACCAGCTGAAGGCGCAGCTCCCGCTGAGGGCGCTGCCCCAGCTCCACCAGCTGAAGCCGCCGCACCAGCCCCTGAAGCAGCAGCACCAGCTGCCGAGCCTGCTCCAGCTGAGGCACCAGCAGCACCCGCGGAGGCACCACCCGCCGAAGCTCCTGCGTCTTAAATTAAACTAAATATTTTGTTCGCCTACCACAACCGCTAAATCAATACTGCCAAATTCTTTTTCTAAGCTCTAACGCATGACCAATTAGCCGAATATGAATTATATTTTTTTTATTATTATCCTAAAAAATAACCAACCTTCTCCGTTTGGACACGGCTTGAAGCAAGTGTTTGAATTGAGAACAAAGCGCCATAACTGCCGACATTACTGCTGCTGCCGCTGCCGCCAAACTGCTAATAAACCGCAGGAGGTAATTTGTATGTCGAACTAAACGTTTTTTGTGCTTGTGTGTCTGCAATAAGTGAGAATTTCGTGGACGTTTCGTGAGGAATATTTTGTTTGTTGTTTCTGTTTCTTTTTGCGTTCGGTTTACTTATGATTTATTTTGTTTCTTTTTTAATTCTCACACATAGACGACCTTGTTTTGGAAAAAGAAAGATACAAGGACATTGGAGACGATCTCGACACCGCCTTCGTCGAACTCATCCTCAAGGAATAATTTCGGAAATCTTAAGATGTCTATGCGCTCTGAAATACCAACGTATCGTGTGTCCTGTTTTGTAATGGCAGTGCAGTTTTGAGTCGTAGTTTTTAGAGTGTATTGAAAAGCAACACCCACCCCGTATTTAATTATTTATTTATTTTTATTTGCACTTTTGGATTTTGTTGTTTCAACTCAAACGATTTATTTTGTTTACACTATATATGTAAATTAAAATGTAATAAAATCACCAATACCATTATATCATCCAAGTATATACACATTGTGTATATCGAAAATATATTAAATCCTGTTTTTATTTATTTATTTACACATACATATTTATATATACTACCAGAATATATAATAAAAAATATTATACAATTTTGCATATCAAGAGAAATGTGGTTGGCGTTTTTCATTTACCCTCCGATTGCCTTTCATTCCAGAGGAAGTTAGCAAGAGCAAAGAGAAGTACAAAACAATCGCCCAGGAACTAGAATATGCCGAATTAAACAACTACTAACCAATCATACATCGTTCCGTACGCAATGTCTGGCATACCGTTGACAATTACACACTCACACACAGCATTTCCTTTTTGGGAAGAGCAGATTAGTACTCATAAGAAACAAATTGTATTAAAAACATTATTTACAAGGAACAACAATACATTCCATAATTATTTTTGATCGTACATATACATACACACATAAAAATAAATAACACTATCTGCCTATTAATTCTAGTAATGGAATAGAAAATCTAATTATCAGTACATACATCCTTTTTTGCTTATACCGTACCCCTATTAACACATCGACAACACACAGTCATACAAAAATATAAAAATATTGTAATTGTGCAAATATTTTGACATAAGTTAGTCCCACCAACCATTAAATATTTATGTATCAATTAACCAAAAGTAACCAAATTAATATATTTACCATTTATCTGCGACGTATCGGAAATCGTATCCAATTCATTCATTAAAGATCATCTCACATTGTGACGTTTGCATTACTGATGTCATCATTCATTTGCCTTTTTTAAAGATTGAAATTAAATACAAAAATAAATTTAACAACAATTTATAGCTTTTAATAAAGAAAATCATTTTTATTAGCGTATCGTTTGGTTTAATTTTTACAAATAAATAATATTTTTCTAAAAAAAAAAGTGTTTATCTTGATCATTTTAAAACAGAGGGTACTTTTCAAAACAATAATTAGATAAGCTATCTACGCAAATTCCATCTACATAACATGGTATGAGAAAATCCAGACAGTAGAAATGTGTACATGATTCGAAACGCAAAAAATAATGTAAAATTTTGCACGGAGGTTCGATGTTCGATTTTGCAAGGAGTTGCTGACATAGAAATCTGTCAATTGAGAAAGGCTGAATCAATTTGACATTGGCGAAAACGGACAAACTTTTAAAGCTACCCAGCAATAAGGTTTTTAGAACCAGGGCAACAGTACCAGAAGTTAATAAAAATTCTGTCCATGTTGCCGACAGATATATACAAACCTTAATAAAATATTATTGTGCAAGCAATGAATTTGATCGAAATCGCTTGATTCGATTAGCTTCTATTTAAATTTACAGTCTTGTAAAAAATTGATCCATTGTGGGGGAGGTATCATAAGGAGTGGTCCGTTCGCTTCATATCAGATTAACAAGTTTTTAAAATGTTGACCCTTTGTTAGGGAGGTACCAGAAGGAATGCGTCGATAAGTCCCATATTTCACCAATATACAGGCTTGGTAAAAATATTAGGTTATGCAATGGTCCGTTCCGTTCTCATCATATTACAAAACGAAAAATGTTAACCATTTTGTGTGTAGGTACCAGAAGGAGTGACTCGATATTCTCCGTCTTAAAAAATTGAATTAAATTTGAAAGAAATCGGTTACTCCCTTCGAGAGTTATTGTGCGCACCAGCCAGACGGACGGACAGATGTAAATGGACTCCAAATTGTCTGAAACGGATTTGGTCCAAAGAAACATGGAGTCTAAAATCAATGTTTGGCCGTAACAATGAATATGTATATACCCTCATTAGGCATACAGCTTAGAGTATAAAAACATCGCTGATCAAGAGCGGGAAACGTCATTCTAGACTCAATTCAATAATTCAATTCAATGGTGTATATTTTGTTTACATTTAACAAATCACTTGATATTTTAAATATCTTTTGAACTTTTACATAAAGATAATTTTCTCGTATATAACATATGTTTATATGTATGTGTATTGTCAATATGGAATACAACTTTAGAATTCCCTCCAACCATTTGTGCAAAAATAATAAAAATCGGTGAAGTAGTCGCTGAGTTATTTGCATTTGAATTCAACGATGCTGCGAAATATACTTACTGTTCGGTGTTGTACGCCTATTACCTGAAAATTGAAAAAAAACCCACACAAAATTTATTTTTTGAAAACGGCATCTTTTTTTCATAATGACTGCTGGTCTGTATAGAAAATTAAAGCATACTTTTAGGTTAAACACAGTCTGAATGTAGTTCGATTTTTAAATTGATAGGACACAAACTAAGCACTAATTTAATGAAACATAACTATCTATACATACATACACAGACAGCGATTAAGAAGAAAATAATTGTTGATTTTTCATTTTCAGATAATAGGGGTACAGCACCGACCTGCAAGTATATTTCGGAGCATCGTTGAATTCAAATGCAAAAAACTCAGCGACTACTTCACCGATTTTCATTATTTTTGCACAAATGGTTCGAGGGAATTCTAAAGTTTTATTCCACATTGACAGTACACGTAAAACATATGTTATATACGAGAAAATTATCATTATGTAAAATTTCAAAATATATATTTTAAATATCTTTTGATATTTTAAATATCTCGAGTGATTTTTTGTTAATGTAAACAATGGAGTATAGATTATTTGGTCAGCCTGTGCTAATTTATGGACATATATCGAAATATTCTTACCATTCAAATGTTTCCAATTTTATTACTATAATGCAAATATTTCAAAAGTTATATCACGAATTCCATGTCACGCACTGTTACAGCGTGCGAAACATTATCGTTTGTTTAGTTAAGAAAAATTCGTTTCCGAAATTTCTTTCGCAATTTTTATTAAATAGTTTTACACCTTTTACAATACCTGCTAATTTTTTTATGAATATGTTTGTAAATGTCGGAGATATTAAGAAAAAATTAGCGTACGCAGGCGCTACAAAATTTGCCCTTTAAAAATTGGATATCAGTTTCGATATGAAATTTCTGCGAATTGGCTGGAGATAAAATTGCGGATTTTTTTTACAGCTATAATGGGTTATTCAAGATTATATTGACATTCAATTTTTTTGAGAAAAAATTTTCTAAGATATACTTTTTTAACTTTGAACACCGTCACGCACATGTTACACTCGTAACACACTGTTACACACACATGTACTAAAAAAATTAAATTCAAAACAAAATGTTTTAAAAATGCTAGTTCTTATACCCGACACAACTATGTTGTCAGGATATTATAGCTTTGTGTGGCCCCAAGACCTTTGGTATATCATTATGCAGTTATGGACGATATTTTTGCCTGTAAATTCGGTTCTAATGCAACTTATTGAGGAAGAATGTAACATGTGCGTGACGGATACAAATTTGTTCGATGGAGATAGAAGACAAACTTTGTTTTATTTGAGTTTGTCATCTCAAGATCCACACATAACAGCATTATCAAAAAAAAAATTCTCATATTAGAGTCTGTATAGAAACATATGTTAATTTTGTCACGCACGCGTTACATATTTTCTTACACTATTTAACTGCACTTACCACGGGATTCTCTTGGTATATGTATAGGTTTATATATATGTAATTCTTAGTAAGATATTACTTTATTTGAATTTAATATTTATTATTGATATTGTTTTAGATAACAGCGTTCACACTTACGACAAATGACACTCTAAAACTCTCCACGCGAAAATGGTACAACGAAAAGAAAAACTACTGTTATTTTTCAAAATTCAACTAAAAATATATTGTCCGGATTGCAAAGAATATTTCCTATATAATTTCATATCTCTCTTAACGAAATGATTTTTCACCTGTGTGGTTGACCTTTTTGTGGAATTCGTGATATAACATTAAAACAAACCTCAAAATTTTAGTCATCTTATTTTCGATGTACTACATCAACAGATGGCGCCCGAGTCGCAAAATCGACATGTCGCAACGGAAAATTAAGGTATTGGTAAAATTAAAAAAAAAAACTTTAAAATGGTTTGGCATATTTCGAAAAATCCAACGATTATTTAAACCTTCAAGGGTTCTCGTTCGGCATAAAATTTGTTTGTCTAAGAAAATATCATAGAAAGCTTTCAACAAATTCTTGAAATTATAATTTTTTTGCAACATTTACCTAATTATGATCGGAATTTTAAATTTATTTTAGTACACAGGCAATCAGTGAGTTCTTGCCATCTTATATAGGTTTGAATCTTCCAAGAATCAAAATTCATTCAAAACTTCTTTACATTTTATGAATGCAGCCACAACGCCATCTATTGATGCAGTATATTGAAATGACGAAAGCGAAATCTGAAGAAAACTCCATAAGGAAAGGAGAAAAGTTAGACTACGTCGACTATATGATACCCTACATCTCATTGTGTATATACAACAGATATTTCTACTATTCTTATAGTAACCTACATTGATATTTATACCAATTAAAATCAAGCTTAACAAATGCTTCATTCTAATGTATTTAGTATGAGAGCTATATGTAAATCTGAATCAATATAAAGCAAATCGGCCACACTCCATTTTGTATTGGAACGCAGAGCGAAATTTCACGTCAATTGAGCACACGTAGGTACACAATTTAAAGTAATCGACGAAAATATCGAACCATATTCGCCAAAAACCCTCAAATTTGTAATTTTCCAAATTACTAGCTTTATTTCAAAATAATAGCTTTATTCAAATAATTGGTCTGTTCCAGTACTTTTTTAATAGAAAATCTAGTAAAAGGGAAACATTTCAAAATTGCTCTCAGAGTACAAAATAATTTGAAAAGTTCGGGAACGCAAATCTAGTAAATATGCCAAAATTAGGTGGCAATACTTCAAAATCAACATAACAGCCAATCAGAAGTAAGCATTCCTGTTTACCATTTTTACTCGACCAAATTTCTCGAGTAAAAAGTTTACAAAGAGAAAGCCATTTTGTTTTGTGCTCTCTTAAATTTGACTCAATG